AGAGAGAGAGAGAGAGAGAGAGAGAGAGAGAGAGAGAGAGAGAGAGAGAGAGAGAGATGTCGATCAGTCAGTGATGTGTGACTTGGGTGTCTGGAGAGATTCAAAAGGAGTTTTGGGTGTAGAGAATTCTGAAAGGTCTTCTTTGTTATATCGTATGTTACCTTGTTGTCAGTTATTGCTAAAATTCAGCATGAATGTGGTTCAAGGGGGATGCTAGATGCGTTCTGGGCTCCTACGTGAGAGCATTCAGTTTGACATGCTGTCGGTTAGCAGAAATGTTTGGATGACAAAGCAATGAAAGAACCCGCTGGAGCACAAATGCATTTGACTGTGGCATGGGGAGAGGTGTGCTACCTGTGCTTGTGCTTGTGCTTGTGCTTGTGCGTGTGCTTGTGCTTGTGCTTGAAGCCTTGAAGATGCTCCCCATGCCACAGTCAAATGCATCGACTCCAGGGGTTCTTTCATTGCTTGAAGCCTTGAGCCTCCAGTTTGCCCGAAGATGCACTGACGACGTTGTTTCGAAACCTGCCAACGAACTCTCTAAATCTGAAAGTATTTTCCGATAAATCCAGCGAGGGAGGGATGGGAAGAGCTGGAAAAAGAGGGAGGATGATGGAGACAAGGGGGAGTACACAGCAGGAGGGGGAGGGGGGAGGGGGAAAGGGGAACTGAAGAGGCAAGCGGGAGTATAGACCAAAGGCTTTGGGGGGGCCACTCTTCTGTGCTGCCCCTCGTCTCCTTCTTGTTCTTCTGATGATGACGATGGCGATGATCGCAATTGATGATGAATGAGGCTTCTTATTCGCATCTGTCCGGGTTTATTCTTCGTCATCATTATCATCTTCTTCTCCTCCAAAAGCTTTTGATCTTGAATTCGTGAAAACAAGGTGCCACTTGTACACTGAGCTTCTCCCTCCTCCTCCTCCTCCTCCTCCTCCTCCTCCTCCTCCTTCTTCTTCTTCTTCTTCTTCTTCTTCTTCTTCTTCTTCTTCTTCTTCTTCTTCTTCTTCTCCTCCTCCTCCTCCTCCTCTGCTGCTGCTGCTGCTGCTGTGGCTCCGTTGCAGCTCCTCCCGAGGAAACTTCTTCTTCGTCTCCTCCTCCTCATCCTCTGCCGTGGCTGCCTCCTCCTCTTGAAACCAGCAGCTCCTTCCTGGAGCCACCAAGGAGCTGCTGTTGCTGGTACATGTGTGGCTGCCACAGCAGAATTAATTTGTTTTGAGTCTTTTGACTCTGCGTTTTTATGGAAACAATATCATGAGGGACTGTTTCCGTCGTGGAATCACCTTGATTGATTCAATGTGTGAACACTACGAAAAAAAAAAAAAAAGTTGGATACGAGTTTGGAACGCTGGCAGCTTAATTTTCTTTCCTACCCGTTTTTCTCGTCGAGGACAACGAGATTTGAATTTCCTCATTTGTGCGTTTCCTCGTTTGCGTACAAGTGCACAGTTTCTGAAAAGGAAAATGGAACCAAGTTTGGGACTTGCGAACCGATCTGATTTTTCTGGTCGGTTTGCGAACGGATTTGAATTTTTCTTGTCTGTTTTGCAAACGGATTTGAATCTCTTGTCCATTCAATGGATTGAGAAAAATCTTTATTGCTTGCTATTACTCTCGTTTTTTATTTTTTTTTTAACTTTTCTTCTTCTTCTTCTTCTTATATCCTTGTCCTTTGCTTTTTGTAACTCATCGAATGGCACTAAGTCTGAGCCGCCAGATGCAAAATTTTCACCCAACTTTTGTTGATGGTCAGAGCCGCCAGACGCAAAATTGAGGGGCTCACCACACCACTGTCGACAACGCGATTTTTTTTTATAGTTTCTCTTGGCCACACAGCCTGTCGAAATTGGATAGGGGAAGAAAATTCACCGCTACTCGGATGCTTTCGACAGTCCTCGGTTGCGCCGTCGTCGACTTCTCTTCGAAATTTGATGAGTGGGCGTGAGGTCGGGATGAACTAATGCTTGTCGTAGTAGTACCCTCAGGTGCATTCGTCTTTAAATTTCCATCTCGCATTCACAAGTGCGTCCATTCTACAGTGCTGTGTGGCGAAAGGGGGCCAAACTGTCGAAGAAGGGAGGCTGTCAAATTTATTGTGACAGCCGTCGAATTTGTTTGCCTTTTCTGGACAGTGGTGTGGCGAGCCCCTGAATCAAGTTTGAGACTTGCAAACTGATTTGTTTTTCTGGTCAGTGTGCGAACTGATTTGCATTTTGTGTCTTTTATACTTGACGGATTTGAATTTCTTGTCCATTCCCAACTTTTTTTGATGGCCAGACGTATGGGTTTCCGCGATTGTATAGACGGACTGCTGAGGTGAACCGGTTTGTCAACCGGCACAACCCGAGACGGCGCGAAAATGTCCGAAGCTTCATTCAGGGGGTGTTTCGCCTCCCTCAGCGAGCCTGCGAGAAGTTCAGCCAGATTCGAGCCGCGAGAATTCCTTCTGGTGTCCCCAAATCTCTCAGTTTCAGCACTAAGGCGCGGGTGCCAACCTTGGGCCCATTTGTCCAATGGTCAGCGTTAGCTCAACAGCATCCAGAATTGAGATGCAAAAGCACGTGGATTTCGCCCAACGTCTCTCGTCGAGTATTTGCTGCTGCTGGTCGGAGGGAGGCTGTCCCTTTCAGCAGGGACCAAGCAACCGTGCAGCATCTGAGGGGCTGTAGTCTCTTCTCCTCTTCAGGTGCCAACGTGGCACGATGGCCTACCTCAGCACTGGCAGATGGTACGCGCGATGTTTCTCATGTATCCGATGGGACCGGTGGGACCAGTGGGACCGGTGGGACTTACAGATCTACAGCGGTTCCGTATTTCGCAGCGGGAAATAGAGGAAACCTGCCATGCAAGGCGCACACACATGCGCCTATCCCTGTATCGTCTACTCACGCTCGACATTTGTTGAATTATGCACTGTTTGGAAGAGCGCCGGCGGTTCTGGTGCCTCGTCTGCATGCGCTGCAAAATAAACTCTTTTCCGGAAAATGGACAAGCGACGATGAAGTTACGTCAACTTACCAGAGGGGGGCAGAGCAGCACCGAGACAACAGAATACGCGCAGGAACGGAGGCGGGGACCGCTTATGAATGGACAAGGGGTGGGAGGAGACTTGGATTACGACAGCTGCTTGAGCTTTCGAGGAGTGGGGCTTTGTCAACGGCAAGTGGAACGGTGACATGAGGTGGCCTTTTTTCTTTTCCCTTTTTGTTTTGGAAAAGAGGGGGGCAAGGGAGGGAAGAGGCGAGGGGGAAGAATGGGGTGTTTGAAGCGACAGATGGTTGTAACAGACCCCTAAATAGTAAATTTTCAGCATTTTCTCACGGCCGTTATAGTCAAACCCCCAACACCTTCTGATTCCGAATCAAAAAAGTTCAAAAAACTTTTTTGAGGATTTGGATGCCATCGCTGTGCAGAGAACTCGTTGGCTTTTCTGCCAGCCAGTCCAGGGCTTGGGCTTGGATTGGTTACCCATCCCTTCACCTCTGGAGCAGAATGATCAATGGGGCTCTGAGTGATGTCCAGCCACTTCTGTCCTACTGAAGGGTCCGACTGCTGAGGCCGATGGCTGTGTCCAATGGGTGGACCGTTTGCCGACCGTCGCCCGAGCGATTGATTGAGAGCTTGGTTGACGAGATCCAACCATGACCGGTGGATGGTGGATCAGGATCTTCACCTGCAGTGAAACCGCACACGGACAAAACGCGGACAAAAAGTTACTGCGGTGCAGTACGAGTGTGTTGACCGTTTGCCCACCGGTGCCCCCGAGCGATTGATTGAGAGCTTGGTTGACGAGATCCAACCGTGAGCGGTGGACGGTGGATCGGGATTGTCAACTGCAGTGAAACTGCACACGGACAAAACGTGGACAAAAAGTTGCTGCGGTGCAGTACGAGTGTGTTGAGCGTTTGCCGACCGGTCCACCCGAGCAATTGATTGAGAGCTTGGTTGACGAGATCCAACCGTGAGYGGTGGACGGTGGATCGGGATCGTCACCTGCAGTGAAACCGCACACGGACAAAACGWGGMCAAAAAGTTRCTGCGGTGCAGTACGAGTGTGTTGAGCGTTTGCCGACCGGTCCRCCCGAGCAATTGATTGAGAGCTTGGTTGACGAGATCCAACCGTGAGTGGTGGACGGTGGATCGGGATCGTCACCTGCAGTGAAACCGCACACGGACAAAACGAGGCCAAAAAGTTACTGCGGTGCAGTACGAGTGTGTTGAGCGTTTGCCGACCGGTCCGCCCGAGCAATTGATTGAGAGCTTGGTTGACGAGATCCAACCGTGAGCGGTGGACGGTGGATCAGGATCGTCAACTGCAGTGAAACGTTACGGAGGCAAAACACAGAACACAAAAAGAAAGTAACGGGGGCGAGTTACGAGTGTTGTCAAGGGGGCGAGGTCCCACTAACAAAGAGGGTTGGATTTAAGGCGTAAAATGTGGTCTCGTTTGAGGAAAGGTGCAGAAAATGGTGATTGAACTGCTTTTCTGCATCTATGGAGAAAACACATCCAGATTCAGGCATGTAATCCACCCCTCTGCTAGTGGGTGGGAACTCACCCCAGGTACT